TTTTATTTAATAGTTGGTTTGAAGTCAAAGTATTGGTATATCTTCTAGTTTCAATGACTCTTTCACAGATTACAATGTCGCGCATAAAACTTAATCCTTCTTTCATATAATGTCGAAGATTATACATTTAAATTTAGTGTAAAATAACCCACAAATCAAAGTTGATGGCTCTTATAGTGTTGCACGAGCGTTGACTAGATTTAACACATTGTGTCATACACTCATTAGCAGTTATATTATAAGAACATAATGGAGATCAAGCTACATTGATTAACAAAATCATGGTATTATAAGCATTTATTGGGCAGGGGATTTTTAGCAATAAAAAACCAATAAGAAAACAAAAACGAAGGAAATATTTTACTCAAAAAAACCATAATGAATGGCTTACGTCTCCACCCGGGCCATTGATGTACAGATGCATCTTCTTTGAGTCGTCAATGCTGTCAAGGTACAACATAGTTGCCAACACCTGGTTGCTAAATTCTTCATCTATATGCTGCCCAATAAAAATTACACGTTCTCGATACTGCATATAAAAAGATTAAATTAATGATATCCTTGTTAAGTGGCATATGCAAAATTAAAGCAAACAAATCCAAAGCCCTATCTTTAAAATGTAAATTTTATTTTTCTTACAAGAGCATTCCAGAGATCAACCCACTGCCAAGTTCCTTCACCTGGCGTTCTGTAAGGCACTCTTGGAGTACCAATAGGCATCATAGAAATGCGCGGACTAACATATTTCTTCTTTGAATTTCTGCAGTAAAACAATGAATTCCATGAACAACACTTCCTACATGTCAATAGTTAAGAATAAAAATTACAATCACTCTAGAACAAAATCACATCATCTAAATTCGTTATCATGAATTCATATGCATGATAAACACCAGAAAAAGAATATGAAACATTATTTTCATCAGTGTTTGTAAAAGCATGCTTCATGTGCAAGGCGAAGCGAAGCATGTGATGCAGAGTTGGCTTCGCTGAAACACGGTTTGAAGCATTGAAGCAAAGTGATCGGTCCGGTTCACAATTTAGCAAGAGAGAATAAAGGACTACAAAATTAATTTAGCTTGTTTTATGGATCTTGAAGCCATTAGTTTATTTATGCTTTAAAATTTCAATTTTATTTTAACATGCAAGATTTTATTTTGAGTTACAAGATTTTTTTTAATATAATTTTAAAGTTTTTAATTATTCATAAAATTATTAGAAATTGTTTGAAATTTTAATGTGCAAGGTCATCCTCAATATTTGCCTTCAAGTTAGGTATTGCACCGTATTCTTTTCTATTTTATATCAACAATCAAATCATATTTTATATTTTATAATTGTGTATACATTAATAGTTTTATAAAACCTATTAGCACTTTAGTTGATAAAAATATTATATTGCTCAGTGTTTTGCGCTCTGAAATAACACTAAAGTCATGAGCATCGTATAGCGCTTTGCGGTTTGATAACATTAATTTTCATAATGAGAAAACTGAAGAATTTGATAATATTCAGTTCACTACTTTATCAGTGAGAGTTTTGAGGGGAATGAATGGAAGTGTATTTCTTACGAAATGGGGTGATGCCGTCTATCAAAATATAAATGATATATAAATAAAAATATAATGGTGCAATAAGGACATCAAATTTAACAAAATACAAGTTTTATATCAATTGGCAAATAAAGGGATCAAAATAATATAAAATGGTTTGTTTGGTTTGTGTGGTAAACCTTCAAATTCTTGCAAAAGTAGGCAAAAACCTACAAGCAATTTCACGGATATGGTTTTTTGTAGATTATGAAATGGATTTCAACATAAAAATAATGAAGTTCATTAAAGTCAAAACATTGGTCTCCTACCATTGCAATCTAGCAACAGATAAATTTCCTCAATATGTGAGAGTAAAAAAAAAGGCTGTATATAATAAAATTTGAGTTATCTCTATAAGTCTGTATATCATTATTATATGATGCAAATATTCCTAAGAAAGAAGGAAAATGAGCTTACTACGAAGTCATTTCGATACTTTTTAAAAATTCAATGGGAATTACAATTGACTCACTTAGGCAATTATAAAAGCATGGCATTCTTACATTAGTCGTGTTTTTGGTTGTTATCTAACAAAATAAAAAAATAAAAAAAAGCATTGTTGTAGAGGCCTTGTAGTGTATTATCCTTACTCGGTATTATTTTCTCAAATTGATTTGGGATTATTAATTTCTCCCTGAAATCAATCCCTAATTGTCAGTATTTAATTAGCTTTGCATAGAGAGAAATGTAGAAATAGAATAGGAGAATGAATTGAGGTTGAAAAGAGACTATTGACAAAGAAAGGTTTATCGTATTGGTGATAGAGAACAAAGTAGTAGCTTGAATTGCGAAAAAAAAAGAGATATAAAAGCTCAACTACATAGAAAAGTGAAGCTCCTAAACAAAACAAGAGGCCTCCTTAATCCTAGCCATGATTCCTTTCTATATTCACAATGATTGGAAATAAGAAGCCACAAAAATGCTAGAAAACTCAAAACGTAAGAACCTTGAAGCTCTTATGCATTATGCAGGGAAGGCAACTTTTAACGTAAGACCTTGCATAATTCAAAATGGCAAACATAATAGCTCTTTTACATATGAAATGCATACAACATTTAATATTATAAAGGGAAAATTACATACATACACATAATCTGATGAATTTTTATATCTAACATCTAAACTTTCATTTTTACATTTGTAACACTTAAAATTTTCATATCAAATCAAATTACCATTACTACTCACACACCATTGTATGTATAAGGTGCAATAAAAAAATTAACGTTTATGTGTCAAATACATATATACATAAAGAATTGTGTGGTAAGTAGATCTTCCTGCTACAAAATAACGTAGCACATAAACTTATAACAAGCAAACTCACAATATCTTTATGTTTGGGCCTTTTTGTTCTGAATCAATTCTCCTTGCCGCAAAAGAATTTTCTAATAAAGAATTCAATGGAAGCTTTGAAGGTGGAAGAGGGAATTCGAGTAGTGCAACAGCCCATGTTAAAAATTATGCAATATGAGGTATGCCTCCTTGCTTTTTCTGAAAAAAATGCAATGAGGCTTACGCTCAGTGTCAGGCATGTTGAGGCGCACCTGTAATACCCGAGAAGACCAAAATAAGAAAATTATGTGCATTTTAAAATATCCATAATTTTTTGCAACTCCCGAAATATATCAAAATTATTTTTATAAGATTCTAAATTTTATAATGATCAAATCGATATCTAGCAATATATATAAATTATGAAGACGTTTTGATTCAAAAAATTTTAAATAATAAATTAATTAATCTTAATTAATTACATAAATAATCCATATTAAACAATCCGGCAATGTAGCAATCAAGAATTCCACTTACAGGAGCATGAAGCTATGTTATTTAATCCTAGGGTTGAGATTTAATCAAAGTTAAAATTTAATTAATAATACATATCTATATTAAAGAAGGCATTTCTTTCTATTTTCCATTCTCGCTTTTTGTTCATCTTCGAGATCATGGTCATGTAGTTTCAGGGGACGAAAGCAGGATGGGCAAGTTGAGAACTACACTTCTCGGGTAGCTTCATTAAGTGGTAAAACATAGAACAAAAAATGGGAAAGAAAATGGGAAAAAGAAGAAGGGAAGAGGGAAAAGGAGGAAAGGTAAGCAGGAAAAGAAAGGAGTGAAGGATTTAATGGGGAATTTTAACTTTGGAGGTAAGAAATACATTTATAAAAATACCTACAAAAGATATATTAATTTTATTTAACCCAATATATTCATTTATTTCTTTTCGGTTTCAGCATTTATGTCTTGTCATATTAGTTGGGAGCGGGTTTTGGTGGTAAATTAGACAGATTATATGAGAAGCAGATTTCAAGCATAATTATAACAGAGAAAATAACATGCTTAAAGATGATAAATTTAAAAATTTCTATAATTTTAAAGAGAATTATGATTTCAAGTTGTGTATATTAAACGGCGAACCTGGGGATACTCATCATGTGCTTGTTTCATCTATCTAGGTGAGATAACCAAGTGTCAATTTAAGGAAAAATTTATTTTATGGGATTAATACATGGCATTTGGTATATGAAATTGCATTTAAAAATTTATTCATATTGTCAAATACCTACAAATATTATAGAAAATCAAAATTGAGCCAACACTAGAATTTTACTGATGTTTATTATATATTTGAGTATGTTTATTAAATGATTTGCTTGTAGGTACATTCATATAAATTATGAATGTATATGAGATAATTTATAGTCGGCAAAATGATCACGGAAATGTCACAAGTGTTGTGATAAGCAGACTATTATAATGATGACCTGCGGAGGTAAATATGAGAAAGAAATTATAAAATTCCTAATTCTTGATATTAAGACTGGAGCAAAGTATTTTGATATTAGGGGGTTGTTGATAATTATTATGCTAGGAGATGACAAACTTTATCAATGATTTTTATAGCTGACGGGTTGGATGATGACCCAAAGGAATGCATTAAGTCAAAACCTATGGAAGTAAGAAATAACATTCCTAAGACAAGAAAAAAATAATAATGAAAACATAAGAAAATGCATTTATATGATTAAACATTGGGTTGAATGAAACACATCCAGTTACAATTCGTTTTTGCTGAATTTATACCCCTCTTATACATATTTTACAACATTAAAACATGGTTGTTCTATATTGTTGTCACTCAAACAAATCACACCTTTATTTAGTCACTCAAACACTTTTTCTTTGATCCACTTTTAGAAAAAGTAACATTTTTTGCTTATCGTAGGACAATCTTCATCAAAATCTAGATCTATAGATTTTAAACTCT